TCACGTATTACTGAAAAAGTCTCTTCCGGTCAGTCTCATGGATTACCCGGCGGGCTCTGCTGACGAAGAAATGGAACAACTAATGGACTTGATTCATCGAGAAATATACGGAGACGAGTCATCATTCGAACAAGAATTGGCTGACCTAATGAGAAGCAATCAAGAAACTAAGGTAAGCATATCTCTGTTACAGCTAAAAGAAACGCATTTGAAATATATTCTAGCTTGAATCGGTAGCTTTTCAGATACACAGTAGAATGCAACTTTCTACAGTCTAATAGTTTGGATGATCACATTCAACAGTGCATTCATTCAACTGCCAGTGGTCAATACGACCGACGGAGTCTGCAAATGGCCGTTCATAAGGCTGCTTCGTCCGGTCGATTGTTTTTTTTTTTGCATCAGAGATGAAAGCATCTTTTGTACAAAACATGGAATCTCGTGAGCAACGAAGGTAAAGGCAGCTTAGAGAATGATCGATAAATTGGTGCATTAAACCAGGTGGTCTTAATGGACGACGGAGCGACTAATGGGTCAGCATAGGTGGTAGGACGACGGGTGATGTTCACCTAAACAAGCAAATCTACACACATAGTTTTCATACCTTCTTCTCCTTCATCTTCGATTTTTATTTATCTCGCTTTTTGAACGGTGCCAGCTCGCGGCCAAGTCTCGCTATCAAATCTGTTTCATTCTCATTAAATAGGCTACGGACAAGTACCTGCTGAATGGTACCCGAGAAACACACTGGTTCGATTGTTCGTATTAGCGAGTTGTTTAGCTCGTCGGATATTAGATGATTAGGGAATCAACTGCTGCGTCAGACGCCTTGCAGCTTATATATGTTTGATTTGCGTACAGAAGAAGATCGAAGGGAATTCGAGAAATTATGTTGTTTGCGTTTGATATCTGCTATGCGCTATACCGTTGATCAATAAAATCGGACGAGCTTTTTTCCAAGTACATAATAATAGGCGTTCCAGACTGGATCGTCGGGAATCCTAAAGAAATCAACAGATGTCTCCATGAGAAGTTTTATTGCTCTGATGACTGAACAGCTTACTGAAGAAACAGCGATGCAGCATCCGTTCTTCACGGCTTCTCACCATCGAAGCATGTGCGGATTTCAGACGACACGACGTGAAATCCCGGTCGGGTTGGCTAATATATTTTACTGAGATATTTCCACACCTCGACATGAAACAGCTGAGAAGAATCACTCAGTTCAAGAAAGCGTATATTAATTTTCTTGAATAAGTGACGTAGTACTAGAGAGCAGGCTTCCCGATCAGCGTACCAACTATCGACCAATCGCCCATCCATTTATGATAATTTGATGGTTGTTGATCAAGTGGCTGTTAGTCTGTTCGCAGAGCTTGGCAATTGACCTGTAAAACGTTTCGTCGTCATACGATGAGACATTATCTATGTTCAATTGGGTGCGTAATTCTTCTACTTCTGAGTGCATTTATGCGGCATTTGCAGATTATCTGTTATCCCTTACCGTGATTGGCTATTTGGTAACAGCGTCCCTTAGGGAGACTTGAAAGCATTGGGATAGTCAATCGGCTCAAAGGAATGCAGTCTACAAAGTAACAAAGACCACAAAAAACCAATCACTTAACGAAAAAAAGCTATCACCAACCAGCCAATTACGTTAAGAGGTGTCAGATAATCTTCAAATGCTGTATAAATGCACGCAGAAGAGGAAGAATCACCCACACAATCGCGCATTGACGATGATTCCAGTATGATGATGAAAGATTTCCAAGTCATTGACAAGCTCGGCCAACAGATCAACAGCCATTTGATGGAAACCAGTAAACTCATCCGAGCTAACAATATTTCAGTACATTATGACGATTTGTAGACAAAACAATCAACTTCTGCCCAGCCATTATCTAAACAGTTTACTTGCAAAGACACAGATCATCTGTGGTAACAGTCTCCACTTGCATATGTTGTGTTCAGACCGTGGTCTTTTTGGCTACCGGTGCTGACCAACATTAGGAAAGTTGGTGCGCTATATATTGGAGCGCCGGGTATGATTACAGACTATTCCGACGGTTAGCGAACACTCCTGGGGTCCTTTTTGGCAGCCGTTCCTCTGACTGATGCAGTTAGTTACAATTTTGGCACCCTTTTCTGTGAAATTGGGATAGAGGAGAATGCAAACCTGAACTCTGCAATACAGGGTCAATCAGTGCTAAGGGGCCAATAATTCCTCCACAGTTGTTTCATCCGTGTTCAGAATCATCCTCAGTGGGCACCTCGGAAAAATACAGGGGAGAAGTTCGAACACTTCAACTTTACATTTACCGTTCGTCTTCCAAAGTTAGGCTTCACTCAGTCATTGAGGCTAATCTACGCTAAAAAGCCGAGAAGCACTGTACGGCTGTTTCAATGCTGTTAGGATTCATCAACAGTGAATACCTCACGAAACTCGGATAAGTACAAACCTGTAACCTGACCGGTGTTTGAGCACTTAACCTTTCAGCCTCGAGGAGCTAAACAGCGGTGTAATAGCCCCGTCCATTCTTCAATTACAGGAACCACATCACGTGGTCACGTAATGACCGACTTCTCGAGTGTTGACTTCTCAGATAGTAATTTCCCTCACTGAGTGAAATTATTCCTCCTCTGAGCCACATACAAACAGGTCACAGTGCGAAGAGATTTCGTAATATTTAATTGAGATTTTATCTTACACGTGAACATGCATGCAGGCCGCAAAGACTGTGCAATCACTCTCCCCCAGCCAAACTGGCCTCTAGACATAAATTTACTGGTGTTTTCGGCATTATGTACAAGGGAGTATTAATTGATCAGCTGAAATTCCCACACGGTTAGATGGTGGCCACCAGAGAAATGACTGTATTTTTTGTTAGTCTTCTCATTTCCATAGAGCGTAATTCGTACGGAATTCCGCACAGAATGGAGACCAAGGAGCGGCGGAAAATCCGACAGCCTGTAATACTCAAAAGATGAATACATCATCATAAACCATTGTGGAATTATACTACTACTAACTGGTTCTGCATCGATTTGCTGTGCTGCACTTATTGTGAAATAGACTACACCAACCGGCTAAGTTCACGCTACTGTTTTCCGCACACAGGTACCGCGAAATATAGACGAACAGCTTGAACATATACTGTTGAGTCCAAAAGGCCAGGCAAGTATTACAGAACGTACGTTTTACCAATGTATTTTGACAAAAGACAAGCTGTGGTCAATTGATGAACTCCAGTGCACAGTGTGTCCGGTGACTTGTACCTACCAGATGAGTTTCAATATCCCGGAGCAGTCGGCCCTAGATCAACAATAACTTGAGTCATTTACTGTTTGAGTTGTACGGCCAAAAGCACACGCGGGCCATTCACAGTCAAATGATTGGATTGAAAATTGATTCGTTATCCGCATTTGTGCCCAGCGTGCGATTTTCTTGACGAATAAGATCTTTAGTTGTACAGCAAACAACAGGAGTAAAGTGGAGACAGTCATACAAGGCAAGGTGGTCACAGAAGCTCAGCCGCTTCTAATGTGAACTGCTGATGAGTCCTAATGAGAGCGAAACTAGAGTGCAGTACTTTCCCCCACTTTGATGTGGACTTAGCAGAATAGCTACCCTATGACTGAAGAAAGGCAGTAAAAACGAGTGCGGTGCAAAAGTGAATTTCACAAATCCCGTGGCAACGTACAACCGAACCGTCGAAACGGTCACGTAATATCCCTCTGGCGAAACGCCATATTGCAGATTTAGCACAAGAATACCCTAGTTCTTGTGGCTGGTTCGCACAGATATGCGGATTTACATAGCATGTAGTGCAACTCCAATATAGCTCAGTGGGGCTCGAGATAGCTCAGTGGTTAAGGCAAAAACTTGTTGAGCAGGAGGTCTGTAGTTCTAGCCTAACCTCAGCATCTCGACTGCTCGTGTCTGGGTTTGGGTAACCTGACAGTAGCTAAGTCCTCAAGCCTCCTTCAGTTGGCATGGCAGTTAGACACCAAAGAGATGTTACAACTGAACGACTGTTTTTGTCAATTACGAAATTCGGTCTGTAGGCTGAAACTTTTTAGAGCCAAGTTGGGTCTATAGGCAGCAGTTAAACCAAGGCCCATTCTTTCACAAGACTAATAAGTATTCAAGAAAAATTGTATGCTTGTTTATTTTGTTTGGTTGATGAGATTATGGGTTGTCGTAAGTAGGCTAACATAAGCCGTCTGTTCCATCCTTCAGAGTTGCGGTAGAGGAAGTTTTAAAATCACGTTCGTTGTTGTGTTACAGAGCTCATCAAACATTTCTTCTCCAGAACAATCCAGTGCAATGCCACCAAGTGAAAGGATAAAGAACCTATCGGTTACTCAACAAATACGCCTGTACGAACAACGATGCAAAACTTTTGGTCGTGTGATCCTGGAACCATCAGAAGCGAAAGATTTTGAACTGGCGAAATTGTTGTTGTGCAAGAAGAAGAAATTAGAGGAAGCTATTGGGCTACTCAGACAAGGTGAATGTGTTAAGTACGTCCCTCGTCCACCAGTGCTGAATGCAACTTTCAAAAAGCTCCTTCTGACTGAAGCTGAGCTGGCGGATTCTTCGTTGACGAAAATTGAGCTAGACAGTGTTAAAAGTGAGTGCAGTTTACAAAACTGTTTCTAAACAATGTTCCCAAATAGATTTGATGGTTATTTTAACACGCTCAGGTGCTTTCGGGCATTTCTAGTCTACTTTAAGAGGCGGCTCTGTCAAATGATTCTTTCTAACGAACTTACCAAATTTAAGATAGATGGACTGATAAAAATCCACGGGTAGCGCTGGCTCGGTCACGCCAGTTGACTGACTTCCTCAGAGACCGCTCTTCGCATTATCATTCATGTGAGGAAACGAGTCAGTGGAGATCGAACAATAACTTGGCAGTAAAGTATGAAGGCCGGTACTGACCAACTCAACTGCATTCGTCACTGCTATCTCAGGATTGAACATGGTCTAGTCGCACGGCCGAGGGCGCGCATGCATCCAGGATGTTGCCTTCAGTGCATGGCTTCCGATTCCTGTCTCCCAAACGGAAAGTCCAGTGACACTGCTGAATTAACGCATCAGTTATATCAGCGACCGATTCCAATGCGTTGCCACCCATTGGTGAACGAAATTACGGCAGCTATAAGCACTGCATACTATGTACCCGTTTTTACAGATGAAAACGATGTTGTTATTGTTGATGATGATGATGATGACGATGATGATGATGATGATGATGATGATGATGATGATGATGATGATGATGATGATGATGATGACGATGAAACCGTCCAGATTATGGTAGTTACTCTATATACCTATTGTAGTTTCTACTCTGGGAAGAAGGGGCATATAGCAGCAGTTACACAACGTACATATAACCCAACCTTGTTTTCATAGGTCACTAACTTCTGCGCACCGTATTGCCTTGGTATGGGTTTCGGGGAAACGGATATTAGTCCATCCATGTCACCTGTCTACCTCGTCCCGCATTGTTTCCCCATAGGATTTTTTGAGTGCTTGTTATTCCCTACTTAAGAAGAACTTGAGCAAACAAGATTATACATCGCCAAGAGTACTACCTTGTCTTTAACACTGCCACTCTACTAATAGCCTTGTATCATAGCTGTGACTGGCTCCAGCAATGCCGGTAAACACATAGTATATTAGTAATGAACAGATCCAGATTTTAGAAAACTTGGGATGCAGGATCATGCGAATTTTACACTGTGTTAATACCAGTGATGGGAATGAAAGAGATTTTAGTGTCTGCTCTTCGATGGGCCTCTTCTGTACAACATTTCAAACCACTGGATTTTCGTTCTTCACCTTCTGTGTCAGGAGCTACTCCTCCTCCAGGAAGAGGTCCTTTTGTTAGGAAAACCTGCTAGGCATAATAAGACAGATCTTTTGTCTCGTAACAGGATGTGGAAACGATTGCCATACCACAGTTGATTCATTTCACAAACACCTTCAGAGCTCATTCGAGGCAGTCTTGTTTGTTGGAGTTTGTTTGTGTTGTTGCGCCAGAGTCTGCGTTTGAACGAAATCAGTACATTGTGAGGCGGACGATTCGATTATTTAAACTGTCAATTAGTTTTCAACATGACGTAACATGGGTAGCAAAATCACTCGAAAAGTTTTAGATTTCCTGGCTGCAACAACCCGATATATGGACTTCGTCTATAAGGAGTACACAGTTGATAGAATGGAGCAAGAAATGTGCCTGCTACTAAGCTGGTTACAAACCACGTGCACTCATGAAGTACTGTTCGAATCTACTCATCCCCTTGTAATCCGTTTTGTGGTGGCGATCGGTAAATCGATTGGGACCGAAAAACTCGAGTAATAGCATGACGTTGACGGTGTTCCACTGTGATTTGTCTGACCGCTCTACGAAGTTGCGGAAAGTCGCTATCTCCCTCAGTCCATCATGTAAAACCACCGTAAACCAAAACACNAGGAACCGGTAGACAGCTATTTTGCTGTGATTAGCCATCACCGGTATTTTGCAACTTCAAAATGGGTTGAAACTCGCATCTTTCCCTATCTTTCCCCTCTACAAAACTATGAGAGACTAATCGGTATTCAGATTGGTTGAGCATCGTGATTCACTGCAACCGGACTGCATTCCATTGTGGTTTTTTACGGGAGACTCAAGTGAATCCTAGCTGAATGTGCTGCACAGTACCCACCCCATGTTTCAGTCGGCACTGAAATACTCGAGATATCGCAGTATTTGTTCATGAGGAAACTACTCATAAGGCTGCTAAAGAGTTTTCGGGGAGTCTTCAGCAAGTTTATGAGTAGCTTCTTCCATGAAGATATGACAATTTTTGATCGAATTCTTTAGTGAAGATTCTTCCAAAATCACCACTTGTAGTTTTTTTATGCGCGCCGCTGAAGATTTCCGTAAACCTTGATCTGGGTGCTTTACAATTTGTGGCCAAGTTAGACATCGTCATGCGGGTTGAAATCAACTTCGGAATCTGCTCGTCACTCACAGACTTTAGGTTGATTTTTATTTGGTGTTTTTGAACATTGTAGAATTATATCGAATTCATACTATATTCTCTCCAAAATTATTTGAACTACAAGTTGGTTAGCTTCTTTGTTTGATTTCGTACTCCTTTTCGGAAGGTAGGGCAACGTGTTTCCCATCCTGGCTGTTTGTTTGGGGCTCTCCTTTCAGAAGGAATATTTTTTTCCGCACCGACTTCAGTAGAAATATCTTCAACATCGTCATCGACAATACGATACCAGTGTTCAACGCTGCTATAGTATGTCACACTGGACGTCATAATAACTGGGATAGTAGGCCACTCTTCTGAGATGAGTTTTATTGTTGGATATTGCAGTCACCTCGGGAAACCTTCATGAACGAAATAATCAATAACACTTAGACAGGAAAACGCGTGCAGGTGGTGTCGACACTGGAACAGTCAGCATTCTGTGAGCTATCCTGATTGGTCAGGCTCATGCTTGGTCATGTGATTTGTCTCGACAACCAGCTGAAAAACTGAACTAAACTAAAATGTTAAAACTTTGCTTTTCATGGGCGCACATTTGACCTTGATCTCTGGCCTTGTTTTCTCCCACAAGCAGCTTAGTGCTCAGTTATCCAACGAAACTTTAGTTGGAAGAGTTACGAAAAATATGTTGGTACTGTGGGAAAGCTTGGAATTTTAATTAGGAGTTTATCGTGTAAGTGAAGCCAATTTATGGTGAATAGCCGAAAAAACACTGTGCAGCTCGTGGCCAAGCGGTTAATTGTTCAGACTACTAGCCTGCAGGTTGTGTGAGGTGCGCACTGCTGACGAAACAGTTGAAACAGCTTTGCAGTGCCTCTCGGCTTTTCAGTATAGATTAGCTTCACTTACAGGTATCTCATTGGGTTCTGATTAAGGCCACCTCAAAGAGATTCTAAATAAATAGGTAACGTGCTCTCTGGTAGAAAATGAGGAACTGAAAAATCCACGTTAAGCTTTCAAATTCGTTCCGCATATGAGATTTTTTATAGGAAATAACTTTTGCATCCGAACTCTTCCTCTCGCACAGAACGAAAAGACGTAAGATGTGCCAGACACATTTGTCACATTAGTTAGTTGGAGCCCTACATGTTACTATCTAGGTCAGCTTCAGTGTACTTGGAAAATATCCTCAAGAAAACTGATTTCACAGTAAAGCTTAACATTCCTTTCGACAAAGTCTGTTTCATAAGCAGGATACAAATATCGAAGCTAAGTTGTACATACAATAAGAAATTCCTCTTTTATCTGCGAACCACTTAGACCCCTCTTTTTCATTCCAGATTTGACGGATAAACGGAATATTCTTGCACGCACATTGCAAATGCAGCAGACGGATTTGGAAGATCTCTTGAAATATCTGCAGTGTTTCAGCCACGAAGAAATTAGAAAAGAACTGTTTGAACTGAGCCTTTCGAACAAACGCAGTCTGGAAGAAATCACCGAAGAACGGTGTGATTTGAATGAGCTGGAACCTCACTTTTGGAATGCGTACATACCAGAACTAAACAAGAACTTGTCACTGGGACCAGATCAATTACAGGTGGCAGTTACCTGGGTAAAACCGGATTTGTCTCTCAGTTGTACAAAGGCGCCCAACCGGTTCATTTTGATTAAACTGAATTACCCAGTTGATGAGCCCCAAGAAAAATCTCTGCCCGATTTCACAAACGTCAAACATTTACGAGCAGATTACACCGTGTTGTTCTACCTTTTCCGAAATGTCTCCCCAATCACCATATCACAAATGAAATTGTTCATTACAGTGAGTTTATAAAGAATTTTGAACGCTTATGTTATCATAATCGTTAGTCAATCTGAGCTGTGTACGGTCATTCAGAGATGTAATGTATTTATCCGACCGTCACGCACTTGCAAGCAGATGCAGATTTACAGTAGTGCTTTAGTCTGGACATGACGCACTACCGTGCTCAAACAGGGAGCATTTGTGGCAATAGAATAATTTTTCCATGTTTTCATTACTGATCGAAAATCAAATCATCTGCATGCACCAAACAGAGAAAAGCCATACTAAGCTATCGAAGTTGGAAGATACTTTAAATATTAATATGGACTAGGAATCTATAGCTAAACTCTTTCGGAAAGTTATAACTTGGAGTCACCCTTGTTTATATGAATACAACAATAGAGGGGTAAGTGTGGTGGAATACTTACGTTGGGTTCTCGATACTTCCAGCCATAACGCCAAGCTTACCAACTTAATATCAAACATAAAGTCTAAGACTGTGGAACGGGACTAGTCAAGACTAACCAAGCTGACCAGTCTTGCACTTTATGGATAACCATAGATTATGACCGGTTTTTGTGAATATAAATTGAGTCAGGACGACCCGGTTCTGGTTTGAATTTTCGGGGCAGAATTCTACATTGGCTGTGCCTAGGCTGCAACGATCCGGAGGGGAAACCATTGTAAGTTCAAAGCTAAATACAATTGGACAGGCGGTTAGAATAAGCTTCGAAACAAGTGAGGCCATTTTTCGTGTTGAGATGCATAGGTTTCACGACCGATTCCAGCATGTACTGCGGCTAACATGAGGATCAAGCTGAATCTCTCGCTTATGGTGGTCTGCTTCCGCAACTTTTCAGCAGTTCACAGCTGCTCAACCGTACCGAATATCAGCACTTTACTCTACTACGGAGCCTTACTTAAATCTTTGTTTGTGAGGCATCTTTGAGTTTCGCCTTCCTAACTGTCCTCTAGTTTTTTCATCAAATTATTTCACTTCCACCGTCAGACATGGAATTATTTTATCAACCAAGGTTGTCCACCTTTTTTGGGAACTAGTGTCTTGTGGAATTTCAAAGTTCCAGCAGAACAGGAAACAACAGCTGTTCCTTTTAGTTTATGGAGGACCTTGTGGATTTTTAGTTTGGCCGTAAGTCCCGTCAGCGGTGCAAGTGATGTACGCAGTACGTTCTTTTCAAGTCTCAGAAATATCACCACTAATATGGAGGAATTATCCGGGCACGGATACTCTGAATGTGCTCATCACTAATAAATTGCAGGTTTTGTATGAACAGCTTCCTCACGCATTTCAACAGAACGGTCTACGAGGTCTTTCTCAACTTCGTGTTGAACAAAAAGTCCCCGATGAACCCATATCATTCTTGATTGGTAAAGTACAACATAGCCATTTGGGCAACCGATGTTTCACAGTGATGGCATATGTAACTAGTATGCGACTAAGAAACGAGATTTTAAAAAGAATAACGGGAATAGTCGTTGGGTTAGTCTTAGAGTCGCGCCAAAAACAAGGCCGACAAATTGTCTTTGATCTTCGAAAATTGTCAAGGAACTGGGAATATTCAAAATGCTCACGTCTGTTATCAACAATAGGGACGCCGTTCCCTCATTATTATAGAGAAATTTGTCAAAGCTATTGTGGTGAGCGAAGGGAGCTGCAACTAAGTTACAAATCTACCACGATTAGTTTTGAATACCGCTCACTGAAGCCATGCGACAGCAACTACTTTGTTGGTTGTCGGCATGGGGTTGTAATCTGTCCCGGACAGATTATTGCTCCACTGCACTGGAAAAAGTGTACTTTGATTGAAGTAAGGCGCGCACCTGCATTCTTTCCAGGCGTCAGGTACGTCTCAAAAAAACCTATGGAAGAGCCTACTTGGATGATAAGCTTCAGCCGTCAGAAGAAACCCCACAGTTTGATCAATAACGCAAAAGCAAATTGATTTATTTCAGTAAACTTGATGAATTCAGATGCAATTTGTATTGAGTTAGAAGCCGCTTAATATTCGCACAATGGAATTGATTTCTCGGAAGGTACGGCATTTTCAAACTTGTCACTTCATAGTGCAAAATGTTCATGTATAATGTATATGTTAATGTATTATTGCAAAGTATCTACTATGATAAGCGAATCTCCGAGGTCAATGAACACTGCCGACTGCGAATACGGTGCCTAATTCAATAAGAAATCGCGAATTGTGGAAAACTTTGGCTCACTTACAATGGACGGAACTTCAGAGAGTTTTCCAGCTGAACTAATTCGCTGAACATTCTAGAACCTACATGGCCTTTGTGGATGAAAAACTCTGATGAGGTACATTCCTGCAAAACCCTTTTGCTCCTTAATTGCTGTTACCAGTTAAAAACTTTGACAACTTATAGTTGTGTTCAAGAAAATAAGAAGTGACTGTCAATTGGTTCCTTGGCCTCCGTAGACAAAACCGCACTGGACAGCCGGTGCTTCACGCACCGTTTTTTATTAACAAATGCGCCTAGCTTATTCGTTTCTACGGATTCCCCGACTTTCCGTTGGTCTTGGAGGTTGCCTGCTGCATTTGTAGTACACCCATTTGTAACGCGAAACAGCGTTGGTGCTTCGATTACTGGATGAACGCACAAACATCACATAATTATCTTTTTTGTATTGATTTAAGACCTTCTCAAACGCCGTGAAAGATGAGAAGGATACAGCCCCAAATTTCTCATCGAACGCTTGTGAAACCACTTTCGAAGACATAGCACAGCAAGTTCAAAGTCAAATATACACCAAAAATTTCAAAAGGAGATTAATTAAAAGAAATCGCAGAGCGATTAAGGCATATGAGGGTGATTTTTGGACTGAGTGCACATGCGAAGAAATGCAGCATTTTCACGTGAACGTTTTTAATTCACCCAAAGGTGCTTTGCAGAAAAATGCATTGTGCGTCCAAAGCGCGGCGCCAGCCATCAAAATTAGAAGGAACTTCCAGGACTCCAACATCTTTGGGCATCTGATTATGTGGATTACATCAACGAAATCGTATGCTTTAGTACCATAATTTTAAAGTCGTTAATTGTTGTTAGTTGTTAGTGAATTGTTGGTAGTGAGACCACATTCAAATTAAGAATAAAAAGTCGCACCAGAAGACCAAAATATTCCGTGAAATGACATCTGAAATACCTAAATGCAAAGAATTTTATAATTACTTTCATTTCCGCCAGATAAAGCAGAGGTCTACGAAAATTCCCACTACTCTTCATGAGACAGAGATTTCGCTTATGGATTTGGACAGGCTTGCAACTTTACGCTTTGAAATCGACACCAAGGAATATGGATTCTTGGAGGTGTTGGTTCGTCGCCGAAAGCCGATAAATGTGAGTTCTGTGGTTTCACACAAATTCAGGACAGTGTTCGGACTAAGAATCAACTACCAACTGTTAAATTGAATTGTTTCCTGGGTGTATTGATCAAAGTAAACAAAGCCCCATTTCGGAAATTATTCTCATTTACACACAAATTTGGTTTTTTACTGCCGACACTCACGCTTATGAAGGTCTGCTTCAGTTGGATGTGCAGCGCCCGGCCTCCACGTTCCAGTTGGCGCAATAGTCAAGGTGTCGGACTATGTTGTTGTCTAGATCCAATGCACTATTCACAAGATTACTGAAAATTCTTCGACAGCCGAAAACCGATATTTCACTTACACTTCGGGCTGTCAGGTAGGCGCAATCTCCGAGTTTAACTCGAAATTTGTATTTTAATCGGACTCAAATTTGGGTTCATAAGGTTGACGGAAACTCGGAAATCTGGTAAGCCATCAGAAGTGTGAAACCGGTCGTGGACTGTAGAAGAGTTTTCAGCAACCTTATGAGTAGCGTGTTACGTCAAGATGATAGTAAGGAGTAACTTACACCGTTTCACATCACTGTGAACTTCTCTCTCACAGAAAAATCCTGATACGTCCGCTGGTTAAAGGAATTGCCTTCAGCTGAACTGGAATTTAATCTTTACTTTTCGGCAAGGTTTAAAGTTGCGGTATGTCATAATATGTGGGGGATAGCCATTTGTTTCTGCTCTTATGCGCGCTTACGCCTCATCAATGAATCTAATTAAGGTAGTAGCAGGATTAGTGTGCCTGGAGAAGGTGCCCAAATTTGTGGACACCAATTGTTAAGGGTGCTGTTTGAGGGAATTGCTGCACTCTCTAAATTCCACCAAAGACCCAGGTGGCTTCACCTCCACAGCGACTACATCTCACCCCAACTCAATAAATTCTCAAATAGGATTTCCTAACTTACTTTGAACTAGAATTTCTTGTTAAATTTTGTGCTTACAACATGGTTTAGTTTACAGAACAACGAAGACCAAAGTTTTACTGACTCAAATGCTGAGTTACTCTATTCATTTTAGGGAGCGAATTTCATTCAGACCAAACGAACCTGGTTGACTTTAGTTCGACGGACATACCAAAACTCTGAGACAACGCAACCTGAGGTCTTATCGGGGGCACAGACTCCACAATCCCAAAGTTTCAGCGATAACTCGGGGACATACCAAATATTTGCACCAAGAAAGGCACATTCGTCAAGTCCACAGAATCCAGCAGTCGAAAACCTTCAACACAATGCGATGCATGTTCTGAAGGCAAACTCAGCAAGCCCTGTCGAAGAACTACCTCAGTTAGTCACACAACCCCATGTAGATCTGTCATTGAACCAAGCAGATACCTCGACTACTTTACACAAGTCACAGCCTCAAAACTCAAAACCTCCAGCAGTCAATCACTGGATTGAATGCGCACCTTACGCATCCAATTGTACACGACTTTACAGTTATCAGCTTCTAGAAAAACAAGCGGATCGCCTATTCAGAGCGCTCGGAGATAGTGGCACGCCAGAAGAGGTTCGGCAGAGGAACCTTCAGGAATTAAACTATTTAACTGCGCAGATAAAAGCACATGAAGCACGTGTCTTGGCCCCAACGGGAACGTCTGAGAGAGAAAACTATTTGAAACAGTTATTCAAGTTCAAAACAACTTTAGAGGTGGCGAGTAAGACTGCCAGGAATAACTTGCCACACCGAGTGGCATTAGACTATCAGCTGAATGTAGTTATCAAGGAACTGGAAAGTTTGGGGGTGAAAATCACGTGAACCCATCATTTTAAAGTGAACTGAGGGTATTTCCATTCATTGTTCTGTTTCAATGAAATTTAGCGAACTGAAGTGGAACAAATATCCTTTTCAAGAAAATATTTAATTCTATTGGTTCTACGTAAATACATACTTTTGTAACTAATCGTAAATTTTGATTTTCAGTAGTGGCGCAGAAGGTTTCTTCTCGGCGACAGACAACCAGATACTTATACAGAAGCATACGACCTTTCACGAGTTGCATTCACCCATATATTCTGCATAATCCTTCTTTTAAAGTCTTGGTCACCGATTATATTAATATATGACATATTTCTCGTTTGCAAGTAAGTTTATTTCCGTCGGTGTATTCTACTCAGCAAAATATTTCAAAACAGTCTAAATGGGTATTTGACACTGTAGGATGTGTCTGTCATGACTTCATTCAGACGCACATCTGGATTTTATGGGCTGAAATAAAAATAAAAGTGAAATTTTGTGACAGTGAAAATATTTCCTGAGTTATATCGGCGATTTTACTCAGGGGTAGTTTGGAGAGGATTCTCCGTTGAACTGTCAGGTAAAAGCTCAGGGATGGATTGCTTTTCCGACGGCGGTTGAACCAGTTCAGTTACTGTAGAGGAAATCTGGACCTCTTCTGACGAAACTTCAGGAGACGCCTCGTGGTCTGTTAATTCGACTGAGGCTGTGACTTCAATTTGGTCCTGTACTTCTACACTCAGTGAGCTGTCCTGTGCGGCCCCTCCCTCATTGCATGCAGGTTCGAAGGAATCGGGACGATCCACACTCTCTTCAGACTCTTCAGGTCTTTCACTTTCTTGTAAAATAGAATGCTTCTTGTCTGCATCAAACTCTGCTTCTTCAACAAGATCGCTAACACTGACTTCTAAAATCACCTCCTTATCTTCCACCTCTTGAGTTTCTATTGAAGGCTCGCTCTTATCCTCTGACGTTAGTTTGGGTTCACTTTCTACGGGTTTTGGAACGTATGTTAAAATAACTTCATTATCGATCGATTTCTTCTCCTCAGTAAGTGGTACGGGCACTTCCGGATGAGGATCTATACGTGGAGTGGATACTGGGCTACTAACGATAGTTGGAGAAGGTAATTGTTCGAGTATTCCCGAGCTAGACATTCCTGGTTCGCTCTCATTACATCTTGTAAGGCTATATTTGCGAAGATCCGCTGTTGTCTGTCGAACATCCACCACACCATCTTTCCAGTGATTCAGGTCCTGCTCAAGCGACAGGAAGCTTGAAGCCTGTGGTTCTTTCTCCGAGACGAGGCCCTTGTTAGCCGCGATGTAATTCTGCAGTAGTGTAGAAAAAGAGATGATTTATTATTTACTCGCAGACCGTGTACAGTGTACACGTGTATGTATACACAGTGCATAAGTAGACCTGTTCACTACATTATTCGTCCTCACGTAATTGAATAAATTTTCTTAATTGCGAGCGCGTGTCAGTGACTCGGAAATATTTCCGACTGTTTTGGTGCTCAAACCAAAGACCCGAACTATCCGAGGATTGACACTGACTATCTTTTCAACCGTGAAATTTTTCTGTTTCCGAGTATGATAGTAAATGTGTAGTAGCATTTGGTTCCAATTTCTTACCCTTCTTATGTGATGGCTCTCTTTTGTGCACCCTAGCTTGTTCCAGCTTTCAGGCCGCAAATTAATTCTTATGGGATCTCCTACCTTGTGGACTTTTTCGCCGTCTTATGATTAAACAGCACACTCTTCTCAGTTTCGCCATTCTTTTATGGTAGGGTGGGGCTCCAAGACTACCCAATGACTCAACAGCTCTTACAAGCAGGCGCCTTGCTTATGGTGCTTGGAACAACCAGACCATCCATCACGAAGTCAAGAGGAGCACACGATCCTGGTTCACCCTTTTACGCCAATTGCCTGACATATTTGGCTACCCTACGTTGGTGTGGGTTCAAAAATACCAATCTTCTGGGTTTTGTAACTAATACCCCTACGCGTTCTTGATGTCTTTACACATAATCGGTTAGAATACTTATCTTTTGAGCAAGCTAAACCACGCTTGCTAGCCATTTGGTGCCACCTTGCGTCAAGAAGCGTTTTCTACTGGCAATCGGGAAGGGCTGCAGTGAGTAGAAGTGCAAGGTACATTCAGTGTTCACCGGTTGGCCTCGATATGCCACAAGGGTTCCACATTGTCGGTTTGCCGAAATGTGGATGTGTCGGGACGTGATCAGAAGCGAACAGACACGAAAAGTACATGTGCATAGAACGACGAGACGCTAAGGTCGCCCGCCGTCTGTCATCACGCTTCCGGATTGCAGGTGCGTGGGAGGGGCGACAAGCGACCAGCGGTGTGAAAATGGTCACATCAGGGACGTCGCCATTGGCTGGACAGCCAAAGTCAGTGAGCACATCTGGCTGTTCATCCCTAGCTCTGTACATTTGACGGACAGTGGAATGGTGTTGCTTGTCTTTCGGCTTCTCCTTATCGCTTAGTATGCCAGATCCGATTCAGGCGTAATGGATAGGCGGCTCCACGCTAAAACAAGTCGCGCAAAAACTATGGTTCGACCGATTCGCGTTTAGAAAGCACGCAGGTTTTGCTAAGTTCTTTGTGCCTTCACTTCGTAAAGGTCTTATATCATGACTTCAGTAGTTCAGTCTTAATAACATACTTGGTTACAAAACGATACGAAGGTACTCGATGGCAATAAGCCCGTGGGGTTGCATAGTATCGAGGAAAAATCGGACTTACTTCCAGACAAGGGTATGGACAACAAGCCTGAAACGAAAGACGGTGATAAATTTTAATCACCCAGTATCACTCTTTTTAAGTGTTTTAAAGCCCAGTACGCATCAAATCAATGTGAAAGTGAGCGCATTCCGCCACTTGTGTTCAAATAGAACTCGTGAACTACAAAAACCTTATGTGCCCCCCCCCCAAATCACTCACAGTCAGCTGTCGAATATTTTTCGGTAGCCCTATCAGTAGTATCCTATCTCAACAAAGTATATGACATTTCCCAAAAACCTGTCCACTGGAGCATGAGGCAGACTTTGTGCAGTACATTCATTCCCACACAGTTCAGATTGATTTCTTATCGGGTCGATGAAGAGGCACTTGTCGTGAGCAACTCCATGAGTCCATCACGTGTATCTTATTAAGATGTATTGATTTATCGATCAGCTGAACTTAGAGTGAGCGAAATATCTGACTGTGTATACCCCACAAAGTTATCACGTGACGACCGCCTTGACACACCTCTGAATCATTTCAAGCAACGACTGTTGAAGTGATTCACGACAGTAATTTACCTAAATGGGGAAGTTCGGATGAATTCCTATTACTAACGTGATAGTTGTATTCTCAATTCCATTGACTGATGTAAGCTGGCGCAGTTATGTTCGATTTGTACAACTTAGCTTTGTGCGTCGCCCAACGAGTCCAGTTCAAAATTCCTCCCGAAATCCTGACAACGTTAGGATCACCTATTTGATTCAAAATGCTCAACGCCAGGCTCAAGACGTAACTTCAGGTATGCATGTCATGTGACCGAAGTAAGTGATTCGCTTTGTATCTATGCCTATCTGAATCGATATGCAGTTTTCGCTCGGTTTCTGCAACCAGAATGAGTGTGTGACTAACTGGCTACAGTGATCGTTTCTACCTACTAACAACGGAAATCCAAAATCTACGTATCGGTTCACAGAACTAAGTGTCACAAGTTTCTATGACATTTCTTAATGCAGGGGGTTGTGTGATAAAACGGGTGGAACCATACTTTAATTAATGACGGTGCTCTCTTTTCAATGTAAAGTGCATTAGCGCGTCGAAAATATTGTGATATCATGTTAACTGTGATTTGCAACCCACAAATCGGAGAAATCGGCTGCAGTTACAAGTTACCTGCTCGCGGGATCCAGGTGAATACATACCTGTCATCTGAAGGGGTGTTCAAGTGATGTCGAATTTAACCCACAGTGTCTGAATCGCGAAACCTCATGCCTTGTTTGTCTGACTCCTTAGGAATATATATATATATATATATATATATATATATAT